CTTTTTTACAAAGCAAAACATTATTTTTCATTCTAGATACAATAACATGCATATTGGCATACTTTGTTTTAATATAAGATTGTTATAACTCCAAGTTTTGCAAGTCACATGACCAATTCTTAGAGAGTTGATTGGTTGAAACAGTTGATATCAGATATGACAATTTGAAATTAGAAATAAGCTGTTATTCCGGTGGGAAATTGTATCAACTCCATTTCCATAGTTTTAAAAAGGATCTTGTAAATTGTTTCAAGGTATGATATTTCATATAAGATATCTCTAGGGTGAGACCAGGTGACATACAAAAAATCAAGTTTCACATAGCAATACTAAGTAAGATACAGACCTCTAAACTTTCAAACCTTGATTTCTCAGTTCCGTAAAAATGTGAGATAGTACAAAGTTATTCTCATGCGACGAATTGTATATATCCTTTGTTATACCACCCAAAGTATGACGTCATTTATCAAGTTGAAGAGTTGTATGCGCTGCTCAGGAGTCGTGTACGCTATCCAGGAGTTGTACATCGTTCTCAAGAGTTGTATAGGATGAGTGTTGGTTTAATGATATTGCAGTTATACAATGCTATTATATAGAGGTTATTTACTAAGAGGGATTCAATATTGGTTTTATTCCGAGAGACAATATGATATGTCCCGAGGGCCCGGGGGAATCTGGGATTACTGTACCCCTATCAGTTTACCTTTTTGGGCCCTAAATCCTATCACTTTTGTTTACCTTTTTACTTAGTCGGAGAGAACGAATCCACAGAGAGCAATACTTCTACATGTGCACCGTGCAAGATTTTCATTAAACGTGTAACTAAACCTCCCTAATAAAGTCAATTAGACGTTTTTACTCGTTGGCTCTCCAAATTGGAGGAAATAAAGAATCATATCATATCATAGATGAAGCAATCATCTCATTAACATGCTTTTTGAAATGTTCTCCGATAAGCTCACGAATGTTACAGTGAAACTGTTTTAGCTATATTTTGATAAACAGTGGTAACGTACATCTACTATATCTAGTTTATCACTGTTCTACAGATGGATGACAGATCATTTCCAATAGCTCGTCATGTTTACCGAGAACGAAAGATGTTTGTCCACCATTTTGAATGATACTAAATGGAGTCAGGGTCATCAAGCTATGGAACAGTGGTTTATGAAAATAGATATTGGGTTACTGTAGCTTGCCATGTTAAAGACGATTGAAAGAATCTTCGCCCGCAGGACGTGTATTTTGAATGCCTTGAGAAGAACGCAAATGGGTAATGGGTAACGGTGTCGCAATCGTAGCATTTAAAAATCTGTTCCTCTCGAGATTTATGGTCTTCTGAAATTATACTATTAATTGGTGTTGCTGCATCATTGCTCAAATCTAGAGGAATGTTGTTGCATCTTCGGTTTGGTGTTGTTGCATCAATAGTGAGGAACTAAAACCGTGAACTTATTGCTTCTTGATGATGCTACATGTATACTAATGACAATTTCTTTAAATATAGATCGTGCGCTAACTGCACGTGTATGGTTGATTGAGAACTCGTCCTAGAAATGGGTTTAATTGGGAAACAAAATATCGTACGAAAATCTAACACCGGAAGTCTGGCCATCTTGATGCAACAACACGGTGTTGTTGCATCACGATACCCCCCAGTGATACTTAGACCGCCAAAACTTTCCTCGAGGTCGACATAAAATCTAGCCTGACGGTCCAGTAATTTCCCCTGAAGTTGAGAAATCAGCGATTTGTACCTTAACACTAATTGCGTCAAAGTATTTTTAAGAATTGATTCGTACCTATATTCAAAGTTGAATAATCATTCCACATCATTTTGAAATAGGGCGCGCACATTAAATGTTGCGTCTGACGCCGTATCTTTTTACCAAGAAGAACGCTCTAATAATAAAATGATAATTATGTAAAATAGGCTATATACAGAGTGGGCCAAAAAAGTCCGTATTTTTGTTTTGATAGAACTTTTTGAAAATCCATGGATTTCAATAAAATTTTGACAAGATATGCAGGAATCAATATTACGTGTTCCAAAAGTGGGATAAATAAATCTCTATGTGTTTTTGAGAAATAATGGTAAACAGACACTAAGGGTCTATTTGAAAAATTACAGATATCAGAATGTTATTCAAAATGATATTATAAAATTAGTCATGTCATGTCTCAAAGTACCAGAATGACATTATTGTAGTCAGTCTGTCAGAAAAACACATGGTGTAGGGTCAGGCCCGTAGCCAGGGGGGGGGGGTTCGCAGAAAACTGAACCCCCCCCCCCCTTGGCAAATCCTGGCTACGGGCCTGAGGGTGTTCAGTATATTTTGAAATAATTTCCAGAAAATTACCTAGAGAACAGTACAGTCTAACAATGATTTTAGGTTTTTGGTGGCAATATAATAATGATGTTTTCTCATGCTTTTCGCGAATTTTGGAAATCAAAATACAGTAATAGCCGCAAACGTTCAATAGTTCTAATTTGCAAAATATAACAGTCGCGAAATTACGTGGAAATTCCTGTGAATTTATTATTATTCAATGTTCACAATATTTTCGTCCAGTGGTGGTATTCTTGCATTTCGGGTTCTAAAAGATCATCATTAAAATCATACGGCTAAGGTCGATAGAAATAATTTTTAAATAAAGATGGCATGATAATCGATCTGTGTTTATTTATAAATACTCTAGAACAAGGAGGATTGGCTCCCAGAGTGCAACATCGATATTCTGTCCCATATATGGGCATGTCGTGATACAAAATTTGAATTCAAACAGCCACCATTTTGTTCACTTCAGCATTTGAATCGTGAATTTTGGTCTTGTTTCCGAACGAAAAATTCCAAAACTCAGGAGAAATGATCGAGATATTGGTTCGAATCTTTTGGACTGTTTATTTTGAATTTATAGTTGGTTATAATTTCAGAAAATAACGACATTTCGACGATTTCATTGTTGGAAAATATCGAGTTTCGATCCTGGGAGCCAATCCTCCTTGACTCTAGAAAGATAATACCAAGGAGGATTGGCTCCCAGGATCGAAACTCGATATTTTCCAACAATGAAAACGTCGAAATGTCGTTATTTTCTGAAATTAAAACCGACTATAAATTCAAAATAAACAGTTCAAAAGATTCGAACCAATATCTCGATCATTTCTTGTGAGTTTTGGAATTTTTCGTTTGGAAATAAGACCAAAATTCACGATTTAAATGTTGAAGTGAACAAAATGGCGGCTGTTTGAATTCGAATTTTGTATTACGACATACCCATATATGGGACAGAATATCGGTGGTGCACTCTGGGAGCCAATCCTCCTTGATAATACTGGATTCTGTTGGTGCTGCCATCTTTATATGATTAAAATGAACATATAAGCACAAGTGCCAAAGGGAAAGGACCAAAAGTTGTAATGGAACTTAGCAAGAAAAAGCAAACTCTAAGTGCATACCAGTCAAGAAAAACAAACCCCATATATCCCAAAACCATGATCTAACGTGAAAAGAAACAATGTCTAATACCCCCTTTCCCCCCACCATTCAAGAACCGATATCACAATCCAAATCCAGAACACCAAGGGACATTTCATTCATACTGAAGTCATTACAATACATGTTGAAGTAAAAATTAGAAATTGATAACCAATACTCATAACATCAAAAATAGTTGTAGATACAAGTACTCATACAAGATAGAGCATTCAGTCTCAAATGATGTGGGATACTGTGTAGATAAAATCCAGTCTCCAAGTCCATAGGCATTTCAAAGGGTCAACATCCATTCACAAGAGCCGTCGTCATAATCCATAAAACACAATAATTCACAATGGTCATCAGGAGAAAACTATGGCTGGTTTCGATCCCTATTTCTCAACCATTAATGCCATAGCCGGGATCCACCTCAAAAGGTGCCAAGTGAAAGTATTGTGATCATTGCCAATGTCCTAAACAATTCCCACATCCTTCAGCATCTCAAGTGGTAAAACTTGAAACTTCGAAATTAATGATTTGTATTTTTCAGCAAAGCCCAGAAAGTATTTTTAAGCTTTATACATTCTCGCAAAATTGCTCAAGATGAAGCCAAAGTCGAATGAAACAGCATGGATGATAGTGAACGAGTGTAAAGGGTGGTTTTGCATGACGGATTCCGACTAAAAAATATAGACCTACGCTTACAAAAAATTAGAGGAACATTTTTGTCACAAAGCTGTCACAAAGTCACAAATCCCCAAAAGCTGATAGGCGCAATTTTTTTTAAAAATTCAAAATTAGTGAAATATAAATAGTAAATAAATCCAAAATAAAAAAAATGCAAAATAATTATAATAGTTAAGAATAGTTCGGGTATAGTAAACTTACATGTAGTAGGCCTATGTGGCCTCAACATGCAATAAGGCTAGGGGGTCTTGATAAAATTTGGGGGCAGATTGAAGTCCAACTTTCACCTAATTTACATTTATCAGAGGAAGTTGGCCGTTACTTAGCCCATTTGCGTAATGATGATAATTAAACGTTTATTAAGGGAACAATGAGCTCACTATTGCATTGCAATTCCGCCTAACTTTCACCTAATTTACGCATAACGTTCACCTATTCTACATAAATTAGTGGACAGGTGGAACTGAACCGCTAATTAGCTAATTTGCATAAATGCAGAAAATTAAACGTTTTTTAAAGGTGATATGTAGCTCACTCATGCATGGCAATTTTTACAACGATATGACACGAGACAAAGTGTAAAAAAAATTAATTTCGTTTTACGTCATTATTTGTTTTGTTGAACGAAAAAATCTGGCGCAAACCGCAAAGTGAACTGAGAACTCCGTTGCTCACTCATGATCACTTGTGAGCTTCCATTCAACTATCACGTGTATTCTTCCCGCAAGGGTGTGATAAATTAACCAATCACCATCCTTAAAAATGATGTCATGTCGAATTTGATTGGCTAGTGTAAAATGAGATGTAAATAGAAAAATTAGCGCCAGTCTAAACGGCCACATGTTCAGTTCGGGCACCTAATGTATACATCCGCGTAGTAAAATAATTCTATAAAGAAAGAGGAATAATCTTACCATGCGTCGTTTTCTGTCAATTTTCAAAAAGTATTTTATTTCGATTATCAATCAAAGTGTTGTAAATGATAGTTACAATATATTCTAAGTTGAATCCAAACACATTTCAAAACGTGGATCGATATATTAATATTCAAATGAGGTGTAAGTAGGTTTTAATACTACACTTCATTTCTAATAATACATTTGCGAGAGAAGAAGCCATTCGAAATCGCGCCTGAAATGTACACATTTGAAGCGGACAAACCCCTTCCAGATACGCCGCCGCCAGAATATGACAGCATCGCGGAAGAGGTAAGTACATCATCTTTTGGTTGAACTTTGAAATGAGGGGAAATGTGGGGGGAAAGGCCCTAAATTTGACGATAATTTTTGCCATCCTCAGGTTCCGAAGCAACCGACACCGTCTGACATTGTTCATGCTGCCGGTTTCCTGAAAAAATCACTTGATGGGGCTTCTGTAGACTACTGCGCAGTGGCAATAAGAGACACTGAAGAAAGTCTGAATGAGTCGAATGAGGTTGACCCATGGGCCTTGCCTGAACTTACGGATTCCAGCGAAAAATGGAATGGTGGGTAAACGTTGTCGTCTGATCACTGATGATGTCTGGCAGCTAGACAAGTGCACTCATCAACATCTGTTTATGAAAATATCATGTTTTTCATGTTTAATCTTTCGGACTTGAGTTATTAGCTAGGACACTTGTCATTCCAAGACCCATTTTTATCCATATTATAGAGCTCTACATGGAATTTGTTACTCACTTCGAGAGTCATGTTAGATTTTGAAATATTTGCAACTGATTGTTGCAATGTTGAATGAAGGTTAAGTTAGTGCTCTTGTCAGTTCATGCCAGACATCCTGTTTCAGAGCTGTGATTGTCAAATTGCAAGAGTAAAAATACCCATATTCAACAGGCCAATATCAAAGGAAGACATGGGATTCAGATGACCATCAACCAGCCTAAATAGAAGGAAGTCGCACACCTTGTCAACATGTAAACTAAAACTTTGTCTGGAGGAGAGGAAATCAAAGGGCACCTAGAGTTCCTTTGAAGGAAGTCTAATCAATTTTATTTTGTAGGGACTGATCTGTAGTGATCTCTTCTGAGAAAGGCTAAGAAAATATAGAAATGGACTAGGAAAATGTTCATGATATTATCTTACAATTATCAATTATAATCATGAGTCTATTAGTCTAGATAATTTGCACAATCAATTTTTAATCTAAGGCTTGATTTGCTTAGAAATGAATACAAGACATTTGAAAAATAATCACCAATAGCCGATTTATGTAAAAATAAATATAATCATGGAATATTTGATTTATGTTTATAGATTTGACAAGGGGCCAGAAGGTAAAGAGGGTTATTGTAGGATGGATTGGGAAACCAATAGGTCTACTAGCCCTTCTCTACCTCTTCATATGTTCTCTGGATCTACTGAGCTCTGGGTTTCAACTTGTAGGAGGAAAGGCATCAGGTAAGAGCAATAATCTGGAAACACAACTTTTTATATATCTTCAGTGATCTCCCCAGGATTTTTTCTCAAATGGTTGCAAAATTGTAACTTCCACTGTTTATACATTTTGTTCAAATTGTGAATATTATCATGATTTATCTGATTTTGAAGTGGATGCAAATGGATTCTCAGGTGGTTGTAGACCTACATTAAAATCTGGGTGGGTGCAGCAACCACTTGGTTTAATGCTGGGGAGATCACTGATCTTACATCTAAAACAATGTATTTTTTCATTTAGGGGAGGCAATAAATATACAATACAATTAGGGGCAACATGTTGAACATAGAACATCTAACTTTAAGCACATTTTATAAAATGGGATCACATCTCACTTCAAATTCACATAGAAATAGTGATTTTTGAAATGGCAAATCAGATTAAGATTTCACTTTTTGACTAAATTCTTAGCATTTCAATTTTAGATGTGAAACGAAAATGCTAGTGACTTCCTTGTATCATATATAGCATAAGTATTCAGTGAGGACAGGTTTTACTAATGTTCACAATTTTTGTGGAAATAAATCATTCCATTGAAAAATACAGACTTCTCTCTATTAAAATGAATCAGGATCTACTTATAAATGAACGATTTCTCTGTCAATTAATTCTTTATGCTATTTCAGGTGAGGCATTCACAAACAGTGATGTGATACAGAACCCTATTGCTGGACTGATGATCGGCATCATAGCAACTGTCATGGTGCAGAGTTCCAGCACATCAACATCTATCGTTGTCACCATGGTAGCCTCTGGAAGTGAGTATATACAGTGTTTTCAGTAGGCTTGTCCAAGATTGCGCCCTGGGACGTAATGATTTTCAAAAAATGCGTCTCCCCTCAAAAAACTGCGTCCCTTGAAAAAATGTTCCCGGGAATTCAAAGTCGCGCTTTTACACTGGATGTAATAAATTGATGAAATTTTGTATCACCGCTTTTGCTATTTATCGGTCTCAATCAGCGTTCTTGCGAGTCTAGTATGTCATTGAATGATACAGATGCCCTCACTTGTGAGGTATAACTTATATTCACCCATTAAAAATACATTTTATTTGCGAATTTCGAAGCAATTTGCTATTGATTTTGCTTTAGCATGTTTAGTTTAGGGGCAATCTGCGCGAGGTTCAATTTTTTGGTTCAGTTTCTTGCGCATGTGCAGTCTCAAATAATGATCACGTGATCGCACTTGACCAATTGAAAATGGTTTGAATCAGGTCTTCAGCTACCGGCCAATCGTAGGATTCGTACTGATTACTGCTCGGAAATTAAGTATTGGATAACTTTTTGTCTTATCACATGCCTTGTACTATTTCGATCAGAAATCAACTTCCGGGAAGTGAATTTCGAAAGAAAATTTTATTTCTTTTAGAAATAGAATTTCCTTCAATTACTTAGTGGATTCTGACGAAATAAAAAGATTGAAGGGAAGATCTTTCTCAAATCATTCATCCAAAGTTGATTGTATGAGTATGGCTTGCACTGCGTCCACAAAACGCAATCACTTTTTATTTCCGGGTCCAAGGGATATATTTTGCGTGTATGTAATGTAAGGACGGCGTTATTGAAAACACAGATATATGAGAAAAAATAATTCTAAAATATTTATGTACATGAACTAGGGGTTTCGCTAGAATTTCTCACAACAGGCTAGATAAATGAAAACAACAGGCAACATTAATGGAAATCATAAATATAACATGGAAAAGTTGAAAAGTCCCTAAGAACAACAGGCGATTTTGTGAAACCAACCGGTGAAAATCACCTGTTGCCTGCTGCTAATGAAACCTCTGATGAACTGTGAAAATAAAACCCTTGTGGGTAATTTTAGTTGAAAAAGTTTCTATTTATTATGTTTTGAAATGTTGAATAAAGGCATATTAATTTAGATCCATCCTTTCATCATGTTATCAAGATATATTTCTAAATCATCTCAGGCAAAGGGGCACAGTATAACATATATAGATACTCCTGGGGATGATAATGAAAAATTGCAATGTTTTGGTCCAAACTGAAAGTGAGAATCACTGCTTCCTTTCTTTTCACAAAGGATATAACACAAAGCAAGAAGAACACAACTTTTATTTTGATATCTGGTTTTGCCTTCAATGGCGTAATTAAGGTTCTTTCTATGTTGCTCAAATAGCAAATTTATTTTTAAAATCCTGATTGTGCTTTTCAGTTCTTGACGTGCGACCAGCCATCCCTATCATAATGGGGGCCAACATTGGCACATCTGTAACCAACACGGTTGTCAGTCTGGCACATTCTGGCAACAAGGATGAGTTCCGCAGGGCTTTTGGAGGTGCAACTGTGCATGACATGTTCAACTGGTTATCTGTGCTGATCCTACTTCCATTGGAAGTTCTCACAGGTTTGTGTAGATTTTAACTTATCACTTTTGAGATCTGGTCAGTTTTAAAGAAATAACCCTCTTGAAAACATTAGTAATCCTACAAATTGTTGCATTATAAAATTATTGGAAGATCCCTTGATTACAAACTGAAACAAACTGAAAAATATCAATTGTGAATGTGAATGCCTTTGTTTCCAAGTTTCCAAAAGAGTCTGAAAAGCCACTTTTCAAAACTAAAATATTGGATCATGATCCATGTTATATTTCCATAATTCTGAACCTTTTGTTTTATTACTTCAGGTTATCTGTACAGGCTGACAACAGCTATCATTGACAGCTGTAACCTAAAGGACACTTCAATGGAGAAGAAAGAGTTCCTGAAGGTCCTCACCAAACCTTTCACCAGCACAATCATCCAGGTTAGGAAACAGTTCAGCTTGTTTAATGTTAAATTGTATTAAAACCTAACCTATGTCTTTGAGTGATTGTTTATGCCACCACAAGTGGTGACAAATTGCAATAGTTTCCAACTATTTTGTGGTTGGTGTTTGGCAGTCAATGTCAGTAACAAATGGCAGGTGGTGACATTTTGCATGTTACTGCCTTGTTTTAACTTACAGTAAGAGAATAATTTATTAAAAATGGTTTAATGAGAGAATTCAGACACAAGAAACAAATATAAATGATAAACTGGTAATATATTTATCAAATGCAATAGAGGTTTATTGGGTAACATGGACATCTTTTCAATCACCTGCACTCCTGTTGTCACATACTGCATCATGTGTGATAGCATGCTTTATCCTGGTGCTTAAGGGTTTCTTTCATTTTTGCACTTAATAAGTCAGGTCAAATATGTTGTGGTTTTGTTGAACATCTTTTCAATCCTTTTTTCAAATTCAATGGATAAATTGATTGGTTAAACCCAGACTCGAACTGAAGGGTTCAATCGATATCTTTTTAGGTCATCATAACATGAGTGTACATAAATGATTACATCGTGTTATCATGTGGGTGCTTGTGGTTTCAGGTTGACAAAAAGGTAATACAGAAGATTGCCCTTGGAGAAACAGACTACGCCAAGAAAAGCCTGATTAAGGTACTACTTCATACTCTATTACTTATTGACAAATCTTCATAATTTTTGTAATTATCTTATCACACTTATATCTGCGTAAATGGGGGATTAAGGGCTTGATGAAAGATTTCTTCAATTACTATGATAATGGGATGGCTAAACACAACATCTACATTCCTACTACCCCCCCCCCCCCCCCTTCCTCCCATGTTACTACAATATCTATAATAATATCCTATCCTGTTTATTGGATGAATAATAACTCTTATGACCTTTCAATGTCAAGCTTTATCATGTTTTATTGATCCAATATGTAGTGTACAAGCTATTGATTTTCTGAATCTTGGTTCATTATTTTATGTTAATTATAGGCCATTGCGACATAGAACAAAACATGAATCAGGATGTTAAAATTTAATTAATAAGAATATCCTCATTTCCAGAAATAGATCAACAGGCAGTGAATATGTTACACTACTGCACTACCATCCCAATTATCACTTACATTACCTTACATTTTCTTTTGTACCAGTATTACAAGATCAACTCTCCAAAGTTACAATGGAAATGACAGTCACCATCAACTTTTTCATATAGTGATATGCTGTCTTTCAGAAATGGTGTGTCTACAAGGAAGTCCAAAAGGCATTTAACTTGACAACAAAGCAGAATGTTACCATAGTTTCTGCTGAGGGTGTACAGAGAACTGTCCTTAGCAATGTTACAGAGGAATTCAACATGACACTTAAAGTTGGAACTGGAAAGTGTAAGTCATGTCTTCCTTTATTATTAGGTCTAATAAGGGGGCAGGTCTATGGTGACATCTATGTGCCATTTTGTGAAATTGATTATATTTCGGGGAGAGTGGCCATGCAAGAAAATGGGTAGATGTTACTTTAATGTTCAATAGGGTTTTTAAGTCAAATGGGGCAGGGGTTTGAGCTAGACTGCCGTATACTTTCTCTCCTTTTGGGGATGTTTGAGAGGTGGATTGCAAGGCCTGAGTTAGACTAGGGGTGAGCCTTCATTAAAATATTTCACTAAAACTTGAGAGTTTTGACCTGGTCATTAAATAGTGTACCTTTGATCACAAACCAATCCCTTTTTGTTGTGTTGACATTTATTATTTTGCAATTCTTTTGACTGATGAAATTCCTTTATATGTCTGACAGGAGTATTTGAACTTGTTGATTTATTCATTTTTGTTGTCATCACGTTAAAAGTGCATGAAAACATGAGTGACTTAAACATGTGATACTACAGGTTATAGCATAGACAATTATAAGCACTCAAATGACACGAGATCTTTGATCAAATAAACATAATCCAGTTTGAACTGTTTATGTTTATTAACCACAGATAATTACAGTTTACTATTTTATTATAAATCTTGTTTATATTTTTTTGACTTTAATACACATACGTAAACAAAATCATGTCTATTAGTATATAGCAAAGGTTTAGTTCATTTATTGTCAATAATAAATCTTTGTTTTGTTTATCATCTGTACACTCATGCATGTTTAACTACTTGTAGAGGTTTTGAAATGGGATCATTCATTATTTTCAAGTGGGGAGGGAGTAACTGGATGGGCATAAATTAAATGTTGGCCTATTCCAAAGAAGGTACTTTTAAAAAGTCTTGACCCATATTTCATCAATTGTTCATATATTTTCAGGTTCCTTTATGTTCTACGACACTGGTCTCAGTGATATGGTGATTGGTTTCCTGCTACTAGCCGTGGCCCTGTTCCTCCTCTGCACATGCCTTGTGCTACTGGTCAAACTACTTCATTCCATTCTCAATGGCAATATTGCCAAGATCATCAAAAAAACAATCAATGCAGATTTCCCAGGAAAACTGAAGTTCCTGACAGGGTATGTCGCTATAATAGTGGGTGCTGGGATGACGATGCTAGTCCAGAGTAGCTCTGTGTTCACCTCAGCCATGACCCCATTGGTAGGAATAGGAGTGATCTCATTGGAGCGAATGTACCCATTGACCCTCGGATCCAACATTGGCACAACGATGACGAGTATGCTAGCAGCATTCGCCTCATCAGGGGACAAAGTAGCGAGTGCTTTCCAGATCAGTCTCGTTCATTTGTTTTTCAACATATCAGGAATCCTCTTGTTCTTCCCAGTTCCAGTTATGAGAAAGGCCCCGATAAAACTTGCGAAGGTGATGGGCAACACAACCGCCAGATTCAGGTGGTTTGCAATATTTTACGTCATTGTGATGTTTTTCATCACCCCTGGGGCCATATTTGGACTATCGATGGCTGGCCTCCTACCCCTTTCCATTGTTCTTGGTACAGTATTCTTTGTTGTTGCAGTTGTGCTATTTGTGAATCTCATTCAGGACAAAAAGCCTAAATGGCTCCCAACTAAGTTCAGGAATTGGGAATGGCTTCCACTATGGATGCATTCCTTAGAGCCAATGGACAATGTGATCAAGGCTATCGCTGCCTTGTTCAAACGGTGCTGCCCTTGTTGCTGTAAACGAACACAGCCTCTAGAAAGTAGGCCCAGCAGCAGGCGAAGTAGTATCTCAGATGCTCGTCTGGTTTTTGCCCTACTAGAGACTCCGCCAAGTAGTCAGAGTAGCTCCACAGAGAGCAGCAGAGACAATTCTCCTTGTGCCTCTAACATGAGCTCAAGATCAACATCTATGCTCCTACCTCGTACAGTTTTATGACCCTGATGATAAACTACTAGTATTCAATTTGGTGTACATATTTGTATATTTATATGTAAATACTGTTTTTTATAAATATTTGTACAGTGTATACTTAGCTTCTAAGTACAAAAGAGTTATTTATCATGCCATATTGCCAATTCATCTTACAACATTCTGTATTCTTAATAGCCAAAGATAATTTATAGTTTCACATGGAAATTACCTAGATTTTTTTTTTTAAGTATTCAGTATTGGTACACAATATAGAAAGTGAATCATTTATCTAGATGTTTCTACCCAGGGGTGAGACGAGTCGAAAAAATCTGATTCGAGTCGAATCCGATTTGAGTCAGAAAATGACGATTCGAGTTTCGAATCCGTTTCGAGTCGCGCGAAGTGCGAACAACATCGCTTTTGACCGTTCGTATTTTTAATGCGTCAATGGTGGAAAGCCGGAAATATAAACAAACACAATTCGTCGTAAGTTTATTCTGATTTTATTACATATATTCTTTCATTTGTGTGCACATACAATATAATAATTTAATACAAGCATATCCAAGTCATTGAAACTTATATATTCAACGCAATATCGAGTAAAAACATGCATATTGACAGTATTTTTCTGAATTTTTTTATTTTTTCGAATTTTTTTCTCAACTCGAAAATGATTCGATTCATCAACTTCGACTCGATTGGACTCGACTCGAAGCTCCAAACCCGCGAGTCCTCGACTCATCGGGTTGTCGTCTCACCCCTATTTCTACCCATTGCAGTAGTGAGTATACCATCACCAATTAAAGTCTACCTTAATTTCTTATATTTATGATGCATATATCGCAGTTCAAGTTTATTATTAATAATTTTTGTGTCGGCACATTATAAATATGGATTTTAATTTTTGATGCATTGACATCTTTTCATGAGTTTTTGTTTTATTGTTATAATTGAAATTGACATAATGTATGATAGCACCATGTTGATTTGTTGGTGACCATGTTTTTCATTATCCTAGTGCAAAAATCTGTACAATTCACAAAGTTTTGAAAACTTTACCAAATTTATCAATAAGAGAATGTTAAATGGTATTCTTTTATCAATTAAATGAACACGATGAGTTGCAATTTAGTTATCGGTATTCCTAGTGTAGACAAAGTATTAAACAAAAACCAAAGAAATAAGAATAAAACTTGTTCAGATGAACAAAATAAAAAGTTACAAATGATGAAAATGATATATTTTGTGATGTTGTGCTTTAGTTGAGGGGATGAGTAGAGGACAATTAAGGTTAGCACTATTTACATATAGGCCTACAGTATACAGTACTCTATATTCAAAGTGACATTTCCTGTATTAACAATATTTGGTATGAACCATTCGGTACAATCATCCTTGTTAAAAGCACTCCATTTACTTATTGTAAATTGTAATTCCTACAATGGCTCCATCTATGAAAAGTGAATAACAGAAATTCCTATTCTCTCCATCTACCTTGATCTGATGCTGCCAGTGCCACCTATCTAAATCTAGAAAAAAGAAAAAGCATTATTTAACTTATCTGATTTGTATAATAAAAGTAGGCTACCTTAAACTAAAAGGGATTTGCATTTTGCCTCCGTTACATTAGCTCTGATTTTCAATCTGGCGAATACAATTTTGAACAAAATACACAATCCTCCTGGTTTGAAAATCTGAGCAAATGTAACTCAATCATTACAATTCTTATGAAAAAAATGTTTTTTGAAAAGTTAAAAATTATCTTTTCATCATAAAGCACAAAATGAGGAGTTTCAGTCACTATGAGTTTTTTTGTACAAGTTACTATGATAAGAATGAATAGAGCAAGTGACATCTATATATAAGTACTTTAAATGAATGCATGTACAGTAGCTGTATAGACTAGTATGGCCATACAAGGCTTATTTGAATATTACACCATGATATATAATAGCCATGAGTTGCCATAAATAGTATTTACAGTGAGAAGAATCCAAGGATGGATCTCGAGACTGACAAGGGAGCCAAAAAAAAATTTTTCAAAATCCCTTTCTGCGCATGTACACATAAAATTCTGGTCTCATTTTCCAAAAAAGACTCCACTCAACATGAAAAAATTGCCTCCCACACCTTCAAATGGAGCCTATCAAGAGATTAGTATACCCCCCCCCCCCCCTCTTTAACATAAGGTATAAGGAGGTCTAACAATAAAATCCATCATATTTATTGGCCTCTGGTAGCCCCTCCCACTTACTGTCTATTATAACATCTGTTGTAATACATTGTAATTTGTCTGAGGTAGTAAACCAAGCTGATGTTTTCAGGATTCTGGGGAAGAGGAACGACACAATTTATAAACTTATGTCGAAGGTCAAATTTTTAGCTCCTCAAGTTTTGTCCCATTCATCAAATGTCTATTACTTTTTTGTTGTTTGCATTCCTTACAGATGTGGCTTCTTCAACTATGTTAAACATTTCTAGTTCATTTTTAGCTCACATGATGTGAGCTATTGAAATGACTCACTTGTCTGTCCGTCTGTTTTATTCTTTACAATGAAATAATTTGTTGATTTTTCTAAAATCAAGTGATGAATGGCAAATCAACTTTTTTAAGCTAAGGGGAGAGTACTCTGAGCCTTGTGATAACTGTGTATTAAATGATACCTGAAGCTCTTTTAAAGAAGTGAAACCAGATTATTTAAAAGGGAATGGGAGGGGTTTAACTTTTCTGTTGAGACAAGATATTGACACATAGCATAGGCCTAATATAGGCCTATATTGGTACACAATACAGAGAATAAAAATTTAAGTGAAACATGTAATTTCTAATATGTCATTCAGATATCAATCTTAGATTTCCAAGTAAAGTCCTATTTACACATTTTTCCAGCATTTGGTCTTTGGATCTCCTATATTGGGACAGATCATATTTTACAACGTGGCAACAAGCATGTCCTATTGCCTCTGGTTGTTTTTGTGTCCATGTGTAGCCACGTCAACTAGATGCTATTATCTCCCGAAGGACATATGCTAATAATCCATTTGAGACCGTATGATAGGGTTCAGGTCTCACATCAAGTACACTGCATTCTTGAATTTGAAATGTGAGCAGTTGGGGATAAAACCACACACATGCTAAAACTTAAGAATACAGACCCTCTGTGAAAGAAAACATTAGAGTAATAATACCATCACCAATCTGTAAATAAAATATGGGATCAATTTTTCAGAATACTAGTTCAGGGTTGTAATTCTACAGGACTTTAATTTGCACATTTAATTTATTGAACAGAAAAATAAATTACTATCAAGTTGTATGTTGATTGTTTTATTATTTTCGCTCTCCTGGTCAGTAACCATCCACATTATGATAATAGCAAGCTCCAGGCAGGCAATGTCCGTTATCTTGTGGTTAAATTGAAATATGTTCTCATGGTAGAGTAATGTAACATTTTCCTGGTATATTTCAAGAGCTCCTTGGGGCACACTTGAGGCAGAATGGATGCATGAAGAAACATAATATAAGTTATAGCTACACTACACTTCTTAGCTTATCATTTAGCACTTTGACGTATCTTTACTATTCATTATTGCTGGAAAACAAGAGAATATCTACATGCTGTGCTATAGGAATAATAGACATATTTCTCAGTATGTTACGACTACAAACATTCATTTTTATATTTTATATAGTGTGTATACTGGTACAATCAAAACAATGGGATACAAAAACATCACAATGGACCAAGAAATTAAATGGGGATAATGAGATACCAATTCGGAACCGTGTTTCTCTTCCCAATAAAAATAAGGTTGCAAGATTGGGCTCAATATTGAAAAAACATGTCGAAGCATTACGCAACACAACCAATAAACAAGTTGATTTAGTTTTCCTGGTCGATGAGTCGAGCAGTGTTGGGGCTGACAAATTTTTCCAGGAATTGAAATTTGTGAAAAAATTACTAGCAGATTTTACTGTATCAGTAAATGCTACTAGAGTTGCAGTTATTACATTTTCTACAAAGAATCGTGTTGTGCGACATGTGGACCACCTCACCCAGCCAAGTGATCTTCATCACAAATGTTCCCTCCTGGAGGATGAACTCCCTGGGATAAAATATAAAGGTGGCAGCACTTATACTTTAGGGGCAATACTAGAGGCACAGGTATTGTATACACATAGTCTAATTAAGATTTCATATTGAATTCCATCTTTATGACATGATCTATCCAGTTTTCATTTGATAAAATATACGAGATAGAAATCTGTATGAAGTGAACACTATTTAGGCTGTAAGTGTTCAATATAGTTAGGTGTTCACCATAGTAATTTATTACAGAAAAGTTATTAGGAAATAGTGTTCACCAGGGACAGGTGTTCATTAAGATGGGTTTTACTGTATAATCCAAAATGACATTCAACTAATTGTCATTTCTTGCTTGGTAGAATCAGTATGAGGGTTATTTGATAATCACAGAACTTGTATAGTCATGGTGGTGCAGCAAGTGCAAGTTACTCAAGAAATGGTTGTTGTAATATATACTTGCATCTTGCCACAATTGAGTTCTGATTGAGAAAGTATTGTAAATTGAATGAACTTAAATGTTTCCATATTTTGGGCTTCAGCGTATGGGTTTCAAACTTCACTCTCTCAGACTCTGTGATTTGATTGGAGTACAACATTTTAATGGAACAAATCTTATTAATATTACTGCACTTTATGTTACATATAGCATGCATTTAAACTTTACTTTAAAGCAGCAATTAATTATGGAGCAACCTGGTGTCCTGACAGACCTCAAGTAAGTGACCACTTGACAATGGAGTTTTGTACACAAATAAATTGAATCATATTTCTCATAAACCATTGATAACAAGGAAAAAACAAGTTATATCTTTAAGATGCAGCATCCGTAAGTGGAAAAACATCTACAGAAACATTGTATCATGATTTGTAAAATCAGCTGATGGAGACTTTGGAAATGGAAATTGCCACTCACGGCACCCTTACAAACCCCAAAATTGTTTCCTAAAATCAAACAATTATTTTGATTTTTAAATACCAGTAGATTTTGTCTTATTTTCAAGTAAAGCAGTTGCATCATTAGACAAAACAATAAAATGCTTCATTTAAACAAGTCCCTCAAAAACAGGCTTGGATTTATGTTATGAACACAGGGTGATGCCAAAAAATACTTCACCTGAATAAAAACACACATTAAGGAAACAACATGCAATTTGGTAAAAAAGAACTTTTGTCTGAATCTGCATTGCCTATGTTTTATCCTTACAAGGGTTTTCTAAGATAATGTTTTTAAAATCAAGAAATGGCTTGTTTCTTTGGCAAATAATAGGAAAGAAAGATAAACCAAAATCAAAAATCCTCTTGATGATAGAGCATTCCTACAGGCTAAAAATATTTTTTCGTTTAAAATTCAAAGCCATAGATGAGTACATTACATTACTGTTTTCTTCATTGAACACTTTATCTACACAAGAAGGTTAAAGAGGGTTCCTTCATTACTGACAAAGTTATTCCAAACTTGGAGGGTAGCATTTTTTGAGTCACCCTGTATTTCAAAGTGTCTGATTCGTAGAAGAATTTAGAACCAGAGCTAAGTATTTTAAGTACTCAATTTAAATGTTTAGAATATAAACAAATTCCGAGCCATATGTGGACATTACTGCTTGCAACATGTGTGAAGTTCTATGTGCACTTCAGAAAATAACTCTCATACAACATGTACAATGTGTCGAACATATTTCTCAAAGCTTACTTAGCTGCTTATAAGGTGGACCATAGAATTTGGCCAATTAGTGTATTATGTACCATAAATGGAATTTTTATCTTGTAGGAATTTCACAAAATCCCAGGACCAAGATTGACAAACCCTTTAATAAATCTACTTATTCATAAGTAAGACACATCCTAACTTTCCAATGAACCCATAGATAGCTGCAATGAAAAGAATCATGTAACGTAAATGTGTTACCCTTGAAACTTTTTATCTAATAATAGAG